TGGTTGAAAAAACTTACGAGACATTAATAAAGCTCCACATCTCGAGATAGTTAGGAAGACACCCGAAGCTCTTTGTTTATTTTTCTTTTCTCGCATTCTCTTCTCAAATTAATTTTTCTTCTTTGTGCTCTCGTATAAAAATGATTTACGGTTTCTTGAATCATTTAGAATCCCATTGATATTCGCGTTTTACTTTTATTAACTCGATGCTCAACGAAATGAGCTTATACTTGGAAGATTTATTCTGTAGTACATCAAGTTGAAAATGTGACGGATGTTATTTTGCTCGCAAGAAAAATCATCCAACCACGACAAAGACACCGTGGTCGATATTCACGAACGCGCCGTTGCGAAAATATGATTACTAATTAAGTACGACGAGCCCAGGTGGATTATAAATCGAGCGCACAGAAGTTATACGCAGCATTGTGTGGCTCCGGGTAATACATAAATCGAGCACGAGCTCGCGAAGCCTGGAATGCCGCTTTAACGAGCTAATTAATCGGCCCCGGTGATTAACGACGGCTACTGCACATTTGTCAAAGGTGCGGATGTGTCGCGATGGTTTCCTATGCCGTATAACCGCAAAGAGGAGAGAGAGAGAGAGAGAGAGAAGCCGAGGACGCACACTCGTCATCCGGTTGCGTGTATAAGACGCAGATCGGATGACATCTATACATCTGATCGGTATGTACGCGAATGATATATATGAATCTGCAGTTAATAATGGCGATAGTCTAATAAATTTCTTCGTTATACTCACAACTGCCGTATAAAGTTTTCATGATTTCATGATTTCATGTTACTTATAAGTATTATTTTGACTTTGCCACTTTCGGGTTTACAGATATAAAGGTAATCGCCATCTAGTGATAAAGACTCGCTTTAATATTATTTAAGTATTAAAACATTCGTTTAAATTTGTACTTAAAATTATATGCTTTTCGTTCATCTTGTATTTCCATGCATTTTTGGTGCAGTTTATGTAAAAAGAGAAAAATGTACCGAAACATTAATTTTCATCGAAGATTTCCTGTAAAAGTTCCTAAATAAAATTGAACATCATCGATTTCAGATATTGACTGTTTCACAATATACAGCAGCTTCTCCACGCACTGCACATCGGTCTAAAGTAATAAAAAAAACTCAAGACTCAACTGCAATGATAATAGATTCATGACGCACGCGATGGAGGGTGAAAAAGCTCAACAGAAATCCGCGTGAGAAGTATCAACCCTGTTGCACACCACATACATATATATCTGTCCCGTATCGCACGTGTAATACGCTGCATTTAATGCAGCGAGCGTCGGCCTCGGCGCCGATCACACGAACGACTGAACAGAAACTTATACATATACAGATATATACCTGCCCCTTGGTACATCTTCGCTGGTCGACGATGCTCATACGTACAAACATACCAACAAAGTAATCGCTCGAACGAAATGCCCGACGACCCCTCCACCCCGCAAGCGCGTGACTATTTTCCGTGTAGGCAACCCGACGAACCCTTATATGCGCTTTATCCGGTCGCGCGCGCGCGCGACGTGCAACCCCTCGCCTGCTTCGCCTCGAGCTTTTCTCTTTATATGTATTTCGTTAGGCGACCCTTTTGGCTGTTTCTCAGTGCGTATGAATAACGTTTAGGCGCGCGATTGTTCGAGATCTTTAAAGTCGTTGGTAGAAAATAAAAGCAGGATTTCATGCTTGTGTTCCATGAAATGTTTAACTTTAATAATATAATTTTCCGTAATTAGGTAGGCATTTTTATTCGTTAACAAGTTCAATGCGCTCGTAATTGTAAATGTCACTGTTTAATTTGAAAAGTTTTTTTGCAACAACTTGTTCGTGTCTCGAAGGACATTTCGTGCATTAAATTTTAGAGAAAAGTTCGCAAATATATTCCAAATTGCATACTTTTGAAGAGATTAAGTGTTATATTCGATGACTCTTGCATATGAGAATCAAAATTAGCTTCATCGCTTGCGAGTTTGCGATGCGACATCTGCAGCCGTTGAGCTAACTACAAAATGAATTTGAAACAAATCGTATCCAGGCCGAGATCTTTCTAGTTTTTCGCACGTGCCCACCCTAGTTCAAGACATTGATTAATTCTTCAAGTTCTGATGATTTTTTCGCGTGCCAACCTAATTTATAATAGCTGAAATGAAATGTGCAAAGCATATAACATTATGGTATTTTCTATTAATTCGTCAAATACTGTAGAATTATTTTGCTGCAGTAGAAGCAAATCAAACGTAAAAATTGCAATGAATATAAGAATATTTTTTTATTCTATTTCAACATTTTGTATTGAACATCGACTTCATCATAGCTCTCATTTTTTAATTGCTATTGCACGATTTTTGTTTTACACGGACGCAAACTAATATTCTGTTATTCGCGGGAATTTACGAGCAACGCACACGACTGCGTGCATCCCATTTCGACAAGGATACTTTGACCGTCTGATCACCCGAGCCGTGTACGTAACTCAAGTCCCAAGTATACATAAACCAAATGCATGCGGACTGTCTCACCGGAGACGTCGCGTTTATCCGTCGCAGTACATATAATAATAATACGTGCGTCGGTGCGAATCATCGACTGAAAGTATAATTGCCCGTACGTGCCTCGCGTGAGCGCAGCCCCTTATCGCGCAGAAGAGATTTTATCTCTCTCTCTGCAGCCGCTCTCGACTCGGGGACAACATCCGCGCGCGCGAGCACACGCGTGTATAACGACTCGTAGTGCTTATAGTACGACTGAGTCCGTACTATATATATAACATACAGAGCCATAGAGACCGGGTCGTTCTGTTCTCGCAAAGCCGAATGTGCGTACGCGCGATATTAACGATTTTGCGCAGGGATTTGAGTACGTGACCACGCGAGAGGCACGAACCTGAGCCACCGCTGCCACCCCGGTATTTCTAGAACCGTAATACGCGAGTGTGTGTAAGGGGATCAAAAATCTCGTCTAGCTTTATCAGACGCTGCGTAATTGTGTGTATGTACAATGCGAGATGCTGAAGAATGACGATTGCGATGCGACTGATTTTGGTGCAAAATTCAAGAACTGAGAATCTATCGTCGCTACTGTTCATGTTTCAAATTGTTAAGCCAAAAATAAAAGTAGCGATAACTTATATATGTTTGTAGGATCTGCATTACCGAAATTATCGTCTATATCGATCGATATTCGAAGATATTCTGTTTTTGTTTGAAATTTGAAAACTGATTTTATAAAAATTGATTGCACTGCTACGAACAGTTCACTTCTTCATAACGAAAAAAATGTATTTTTGATACGACTCGGATCATCGCAAAATAATATGGAGAGGGTTGAAAAGCTGGACGAGTCCACCGAAGCTGTGGTGTAAAGGGAGTTTCATTTTGACAGACTCTCACGCAGACGACATGACATTCTGTGAGAATTGGACATCCTCTATCACCATACGCATCACACGTCCAATGAGCTAATAAAGTCATTCCGAGAATTAATGTAGATTTTTTCAAATCTACTTACAAAGTAAACAAAAGGAAGTTAAAAGATGTCAAAGTAACATTCAAGTATTAGGCACGATGCGCCTACAAATGATTTCTCTCTAAAATTAATAAAAATTAACCAATCTTAGCATGAAAAATCGTTAATTACACCGCTTCATTGATGTTCATACTCGCAAGTCTAATTATTACGTGTTTAACAAAGATTATACGAGTGAGCTACTTAGGGGATTCAAACAGTTCCGAGTTTAGTTTGCTTAATTGCATTTTACACTCGACTGACCAAATCTAATAAGGTTCGAATGAGATTCGACCGAGGCTCCTCGTTCGCCGTATACAATAGATTTTGCATCACAAGGGGGTAATAATCGTGGCTCTTCTCGACGCCATCAAACAAAGACGTACGGCATCGAAATGCAACGGAGATTATTTCGAGCTTATACGCATATACGCATCCGAGAGCACAACGACGCGCAGAAGGTATATGTAGAGGAGAATTAGCAGCGACGCGCGCGATATGCAAATCCGGGGCTAATAATAAATGCGAAACTCGCGGGGAAAAACTTTACAAGGCAGCGAGAAGAATGCGGTCATAGAAAAACGTGCTCTCGAGCTCTCGTTAATTTTCATTTTATTTCGCGCTTTATGTACAATTCGTTCCTTTCACGCGACCCACGCACGGACTTGCGCGCGCGAACGCGAATACTTTTCGTCTTCTCTTTTTCTCTTTTACTCTCTATGTCTCCCTGTCTCTCTCTCTCTATATATCTTTTTCGCGTACACTTGATTATCTCGCTCCTTTCGGGGCGCTCCACATTGCACACTCGCTGGGAGGTCCACGAGCAATAATTTCACTTCTCTCTCTGGGTCTCTCTCATTTTTAATCACGCCTCTGGCCTCTTACGCACGTGCGCTCCAACGTCGTACACAGCGTGTACAAATGTCTGCGAAGCTGACAAGGAGAGTAAAGGAGAGGAATTGCAGCGCGAGACATTGACTTGAGTCTTGAAGGACCAACCTCGCACTCGGCTACACGCTATTTTTTATACGGTATTCCGACTTGCTTAGCACACGTAGACTCATAATTCGTTCTGCAAGTGTTGCGCAAGCAGCAGCAGCAACAGCAGTATTTATCTAGACGAGCTCAAGACTCGCCTTTTGGTAGCGATCAAGAGATGTTATAACAAACAAGTTGGAAAGTCAGAAATAAATATGAATTTTTATTGCCTGGTTATATGAAGCAAAATTATTCACAACGAAAAGAGAGGAGGGTTAACATCTGTAAGATAAATGTCATAACTAGCACAGCTATGTGCTGCTGTAATTACGTTCTAGCGCTATGGACTACCGATTAAATTCGTTCGACAAAATTTAAATTTTCGCGCATCGACGCTCGTTTGCGCTCTGCGAGTCGAGTTTGTATACATATTTTTGACGCTGAAATGTGCCGCAGTTTTCATCATTTGAACTAGTCGGTTTTCACGAGCAGAAACAAAATAAACTCGCAGAGTCATTGTTGTGAAAACTACTGTTCAAATTATTATATTGTTGGTGTTTTTCATTTAATTTTATCAAGCATCGATCACTAATTATAAATTTTAATCGATCAGTAATAAATTTCTAAAAGCTACCAAGTGCGTGAGTTAAAATGTCAGTAAAACAAGTAATGGAGTCTTCTACTACAATTACTTCTGATGAGTGTATCTATACGTGGAAAATCAAGAACTATCGCTTACTAAAATCAAAAGTTGGAGAAAAAATAGAATCTCCCCAATTCGGCGTTGGGAGTGATAATAAAAAATACTTCAATCTCGAATTATACCCTGCAGGAGTAAATAAAGAATATGCAGGATACTTATCGTTATTTCTTAAACCCGTAATTAATTCAATAAACATACCAGATAAGCTCGTATGTAAATACACATTATCAGCTATTAATGATAAAAAAGTTGTTCAAAAAGTGCCAGATCATCACGACTTTGCAACTACTGGCTTCGTAGGCCGTGGTCGGGTACAATTTTTTGAACTGAAAGATATTGACGAATTAATTTCTTTGGAAAATACTGTAACTATTCAATGCGAATTAGAAATTTTCAAGGATTATGAATCTTCATTAGATTCCGAAATCATCTACAGTAAAGATGTGACAATGGACAGAATGAAATTCGATTTTTCTTTTCTTTGTGAAAAACTCAGTGATGTTAAATTGATAGTTGAAGAACAAGAAATCCCCGCGCACAAAATTGTATTGTCAGCAGCCAGCCCAGTATTTAAGGCCATGTTTACACATGACATGCTAGAAAACCAGAGCAATACAGTTGAGATAGCTGACATTCCTCATACTAATCTCACTGAAATGCTGCGATACATTTACACAGGGGAAATTGAAATCAAAGAGGCAGGTAGTATTATTGAACTTTTAGAAGTTGCCGACAAATATCAAGTTGATTGTTTGAAAACAAAATGTGCAAAAATTTTGGGTACTGATTTGTCCACTGAAAATGCGATTGACATTTTAGTAGCTGCCCATAAATACAAAGTAAAGAATTTGGAAGATGAAGCAATAAAGTTTATCACAACTCACATAGAATCACTCTCCAATTCCGAAGATATAAAGGAAATAGATGATCCTGATCTATGGGCAAATTTAATGCAATCAGTAGTTAAGTCTCAAAAAAATGCATCTTAACTCTTTTTTGAACATAAACGTAGTTTTTAGTAGAATTTGATTTATTATTGAGTATGTTGTAACTCAACTTTTTGAGATATTATCCATGGAATCTCCATTTAACTATCTATTAATTGTGACTCAATTCTAGCATTTCTAGATTAAATGCATTGTACAATATGAATTTTGCAAACTTCATATCATTAAGTCTTTAGTTGTTTATTGACAAAATTAGACTATTAACATTAACAAACTGTTGTTTAAAAGACGTTTATTAATAAGTATTTTGTAAAACTAGCACTTTAAGTTTATGACATAATTTCAAACGCAATTTGTAAAGTTGCAGAGTGAATAAAGTATATAATAGTGCATATTCTGAAATGACCTTTGAAATTCATTGTTTCCTTCAATTAATAATTTCATTTTGGTTTAATCAATAATAAGAATTGAAAAAACATATGATTGCTAAAATTGCAAGTAAAGCGAATGCGCGTGAACTAAACGTCGCTACGCACGAATCATCAGTCGAGCCCGGATGCGCTAAAGTCGACATATGAACATGTGACGGATGACCGTTGTCAATCATCGTGCGGCGTTATACGAAGATTCCGCGTGCGTCGATGTATCGAGCAGCGCTTGAGAATTCTCAGTACCAAAGACGTTACACTAATAAACGTTCGGTATCAAGCAGAAAACACCAATGCAGCGAAGTAAGGGCAGCACCTGACGCCTGTGCCTCCTCGAGCGGACTATCGATATCATAGCCGCGTATTGTTATACACGTACAGTCGAACCGAAGCACGCGTCCGCTATACGGCTATTTACTGCAGTGAGCACGTTCAGACAGGTTCACGAATGTATCTCGCTTGAGAATAGGTCGGATGTATGAGTGAGGACTGAGGACACGCATCAGAAGTTCTTGTGCCCGCAGCAGTGAAAAACATCGTGCGACCTACGCTCAAAGATTAACAGGGACTTACAAACACGTTTGTCAAGAGTTGTGCATTAAAATTGGTGGGACATCTGACATTATGTATATTAGATGATGGCGCTTAGCACGGCTATCGACAGTGAATTGTTTTTTTAGTGTGCACATATCTTTGCCGCCGAAAAGTGCTGCTATACTTTTGCCATTTGAACTATAGTCGCTTCTCGCAAACTGAAACCAAATTTCAACCCATACGCCACTGTGTCATTGTTGTGAAAACTAGTGTTCAAGTTATTATATTGTTTGTGCCTTTTGTTTCATTTTATTAAGAATCGATCAAGTTTTAATCTATCAAGAAATACACTTTTTAAAGCTATCAGATACGTGAGTCAAAATGGCTACAGAGCAACGAATAGAGGCTTCGACTAAAGTTACTTCGGATAAATGCATTTACACGTGGACGATTGAGAATTATCACTTAATAAAATTAAATGTTGGAGAAAAAATAGAATCTCCGCAATTTGGCGTTGGCAGTGATGATAAAAAATACTTCCTTTTGCGATTATACCCTGCAGGCAGGGATGCAGAATCTGCAGAATACATTTCGTTATTTCTTGCACCTGTAATTGATTCAACAAACAAACCAGATAAGCTCGTATGTAGATGGACACTGTCAGCGATTAATGATAAAGAAGTAGTTCAAAAAGATACAACGCATTACGATTTTGCGAGTGATAAAGACTTACGTGGATATGGTTCGTCTAAATTTTATAAATTAAAAAATATTGACAAATTAATTTCCTCCGAGAATACTGTTACTATTCAATGTGAATTAGAAGTTGTCAAGGAATTCGAATCCTCATTGAAATTATACAATATCAACATTGCAAATCAGATAAATAATAAAATAAGCTTAGACTCATTGTTTCTTAACCAAGAATTCAGCGATGTTAAATTAATTACTTCTGATGAAAATGACATTCCAGCCCATAAAAACATACTTGCTCTAGCTAGTCCAGTATTTAGGGCTATGTTTACACATGATATGTTAGAAAACAAAAGCCATTTTGTTGAAATAACTGACACTCCTTACAATGTTCTGGTTGAAATGTTGCGGTTTATCTACACGGGTGACATTGTAAGTACCAAGGTGGATATAGTTCTTGAAATTTTAGCAGTGGCTGACAAGTATCAAGTTGATAGTTTGAAAATCAAATGTGGAAAAGTATTATGTGATGCATTGACAACTGATAATGCAGTCAAGATTTTAATGGCTGCCCATAAACACCAAGCAAAGTATTTGGAAGATGAAGCAATAAAGTTTATTACAACTCAAACCCAATTACTCTCCAATTCTGAAAAGATGAAGAAAATAGATGATCCTGATATATGGGTGAATTTAACGCAATCAATATTAAAATCTCAAAAGAATTCATCTTAGTTTATCATTATGTCTAAGAGAAGTTTTTACTGGAGTTACTTAGTTTTACTATTTTTGCATTATAACCATTTTACAATATCTCTTTTTGAATCGTTGAAGAAGACTTCAATTTTTGTTTCCAAGTAGACTAAAAATATTTACTATGCTATTGTTGTAAACCCATTTGAGGTATAGCGAAGATCTTTTTGTAAAACTAGCACTTTAACTTTAAAACATAATATTGAACGCTATGTACAAAGTTGTAAGGTAAATAAAGTGCATTAATACGTTTCTTCAAATGAAGTCATTTTATTCAATTTATCATTGTGTTCAGATTTAATTAATAATAAAAAGAAAAAACATAAAATCAATCAAATTGTTTGCTAACAAAGAGGTATTAGACTTTTAAAATGCTCATAGGTACATCTGGAAACATGGTTTTGAAATGTTATAAATAACAGAAGTGATTATCTCAGTAAGTATAAGAATCAGATATAACAACATACCCATTATTTATTATTCTTCATAATTAGAATTATAAATAATATAAATTATAAATGATGTAGGGGACTTCAACTTTTTTAACTGTTCAAATCTTTTATTCTAATATTTACAAATGTGAAAAAGTTTATGAAAAAAAGGAACGAGTTTATCTCAAGTCTTCAGTAAAAAATGATCAAGAACTTTCTTACATTGATAAAATAATTTTGTAAGACCATAATAAATAATAGGTATCCAGTATTTGATTTCATAAGTACAATAAAATTTAACATTTAAAAAGGGCTAATGTCATGAAAATATTTCGCTCCTGTCGATGCATACAAAAAGAAACTCGAGGTCACCGATTCTAGTATAAAACGTCCTCGTATCGCTTTGAAGGGATCAGAGGCAGGGGACAGCTTACACCATCCGGATAAAGACCATAAGTATCGTTCTGTGTACATCTACGCCCTGGTGTTATTACGTTCTAGCGCCGTGCGTACCGTCAATTAAATTGAGATTCATTCGACGACATTTCCAATCCCTCGCGCAGTTTTCCGCGCGCCTCGTGCGTGTGCTCCGCGCATATCCTTGCCACTCTATATATCCTTTATAGATATACATAGTGCGTCGGGCAAAAAGAAAGGCGCATATAACAGTCGTTAGAAAGTTCCGCGGGCATAATAAAGCTTGTTGCAGTGTACCGAATACGACCTACCTACGTATACCTAACTCGGGCGCGCTCCCGCCGCATATGAGATTGCTTATATTACTCATACACACTAAGTAAGTTAGTAGCATCGGCTTGAAATAAGATTGATGTTGTTGATTGCACGTACATTCAGCTTTTGCGCGGCTGTATACGACTCGCCTTTTTACGCACGCTGTTCTATGTCCGTCTCTCTCTGTTTACTTTTCTTATCGCTGCTTTCTCTCGTCGCGCTTCTCCCCTCTTTCTTCCTTCCTCTCTAGCCCTCGCGACTAATTCATAATATAAAGTTTATTTTCCGCGCGAATATATGCGGCACGACTAAGATCGCGCGACGCGACTGCGCTTATTACCACTCGAAGGAAACATATAAAACCACTTAAACCTACATATATTATACGTATACGCGCGATCGTAAAAGAAATTCAGTCGTGCGATATGCGCTGCCTCCTTGCGCTCGAGCTAAAAAAAAAAAAAAAAACATTGTATGGCTTTAGGAAAGTTATAAAATGACCCTGTGTCTGTGTGCTTGGATTACGCTTGGCGCTTGATACGGTTGTAATATAAAATAAAGTAGCATTGCCAAGAGGTAAGGACTTTGACGATCGATTTTTCGAGTTCATTAAGAAAAAAAAAAGATACTCCGGAAAATAAGAACAGACAACGCTTGTTACAGTGTGCGTATGTATACACACACACGTATACGAGGCGAATCATAATTTCTCTCTCCCTGCGCGATTTCTCCCGGCTGGACTTTTGGTAATGCGACTTTATGGCTTCCAAGGCACGTATCGCACTGGATCAACAGTTACATTATACGCTCTCTCCGTGCGCCGGGCCACTACACTACTACTCCGTACGCGGGCTTTATTAGCACTTTATTCTCGAGCAAATAAAATTTCACACCCTTGGGCTCCTCCTCCTCCTCCTTCTTCTTCTGCCCCGCTGCTGCTCCTCTTTTCGAGCTTTTCGAGCGCGCGCGGCAGGTTCTATATTGATTTTGTATTCATGATAACGCGCGCGCGCGCGTATACCGAAGCTTTTGAGCTTCGGCGCGATCTCTAAAACGGTTCATAATTTAGTTCGTCGCTGTACCCACCCAGAATTTGCGAAACCAATTATACTAAATTACCGAAAAATTTCATGGCGCATAATTAATTATGCAAGCTCCTGTACTCACCAATTTGAATATATTTGAATGAAGAAACGATATTGCTCGATGCTTACCTGAAATTCATAAAAAAACATATAGGTTAATTATTTGATTAAATAACAATATTAATTTATTTGAATGTGTTTTAATTACTTTTTGTAGCGCGTGAAATGGGTGGAAAGAATCGTCGCGTCAAAAATTAAAATTTTCAAATTTATTTAGTTTTTTTTTTGACATGCAAAAAAAGCCGATTAACTCCTCTGGCTCTCTGTCTTCTGCTGAACTTTCAAAGATAAAATAATACTATACTTCATGACAAGGTAAAAACGAGGGCTGCACGAGTCGAGACACGCACAACGGCAACAAAAAATAGCATATGGACAATGAAATATTCATTAAAAAGACGTTGAAAAATTCATGGGGCAAGATAAAACAAAATAAAATATATATTAAGCTGCACTTTTTTTTCTCGGCGCAGCGCGAGATCTTTCGGCATTTTTCCGCATATCAGAGCTATTTCATAAACAACTATTTTCAGCGCGCGTCTCGTTTTCGCTCTACACGCACGCCGTATAGTATACGGAACGTAGATACATAAGTCTAGCTTTTTGCGCGCGCCTGTTTCTTTTTTGCGCCTTTATCTGCCTCACGTTCTCTGCACGCGAAGAAAAATTTTACATTTTCATTCGGAGAGAGTGAGAGAAAAAAAATAGCACTCGTGCCTTGGCGTATAAACAAGCAAATTAAAATACTGCCTGCTTCTGTTGTTGCAATGCGTGTGCGCGCGCGCATACGTATAAGCTCGACACATACACACACGGACAACCACAATGATACAAATACACTGCGCGTATAATTTTGTACGTATTCGTCCTTCTTTTCAGCAGGCGTGTATAATTCCATTGTCAGCTCATGCTAACAAATTTATTAAAGCGACTAAGTTGGCCAAAGGAGAAACGCACACACACACACACACACATACGGAACGAAGCTCAGTGCGATGGGAATGCGAAAACAGTGCGCAAGCTTATATATATTTAGCCAAAAGAGATCCACCCCTGCAGCGCCACACGAGCGCGCGCCCATTATAAAAACAGGCCTCAAAGGGGTGCTACTGCTGCTCGCGAGCAGATTCGCGCGCGGCTTTGCAGTTTATGCGCCCCCGGCGCTGTGATTGTGTGCCTCTCCCTCTCTCTCTCTCTCTCTCTCATCTCTCTGTTGGCTCCGTGTATATATTTACAAATGCGTGTCGCGATTCACGCGCGCCCGTTGCAAAAAGCTGATCAAAGTACACGGACGCAGGCAGCAGCAGCAGCAGCACATGTGGCGTGGGCTTTACAACACGACCGTGTCTGGCTTTTCTTTTCTTTTTTTGTCAACGTTGCGTCGCCGCGAGTTGACTGCTATATCGAATAGCAGCGCGCGAGGGCACTGCGCCCGTTTGACCGTGAAATTGTCGCGCGCACGTGATATCGAATTTTCTCCTTTACTTCTACTCCTCGTCCTCTCATCCGCGTGTCTCTTTGCGTTTTGTTTCATTATTTTCTTCTTTTTTCTTTTTTTTTTTGATACAATACAGTTGTTGTCGGTGTATTAGCTTTATAGCACCGCGTGCGCGCTGGCGGAGAGCTTTTTCGATCTCATAATACAACGTGTGCCCGCGCGCGCAAACGCAGTTTATGATCTTTTTATTTTCGCGCGCGCTCTCGCGAGCTTTCGGGCAATTTAGCGCGCGACGCGGGATCAGAAACAGGTGTAACAAAAAAATTACTTTCTTCTCTGTAGTAAAAAATTATAGTTACTGCCGACCAACGCCTTTTTTAATAATTCCAAAATTTAATTAAAGAAATGAATTATAAAAAAGATATACAAATGCAATTTAACAGCTTTTCCCTTTCGATAACAGCAGTGCAGCAATAATTCATGTTAGCTGTCACGAGAATTTGATAGAGTAAAGATTTTGCGCGCAGTATGGCATGTCCTTATTATAGAGGAATCACAAGTTTTGGAGGGCGTTGTTTAGTAAAAAAAGACACGTGAGAGAAATCACGGAGCTGTCAGGACATCGAACATGCATACGTGAATTCAGTATACGCGCAGGTATATACAACTTGCTTTAATGCGAACTGGATAGGAACTGACTTTTACAATAATATTTACTTCGGCATTTACAGATTTACAGATTTTAAGATACTCGCCATCTAGCGGTAGATGCTCAAAGCCATATCATTGTATTCAATGTAGTTGATTGGAAACTGATCTATATTTTCTGATACAAATAACTGTCTCATTTTGCGATAATTTAAAATGCACTCGATAATTTACTTGATAATTTACGATATTTTAGAATGCCATAAACGGACATTCAGCGTTTATCAGTTCAATATATAATATTGACCTGGTACGAACGATTCAGATTCTGTCAGTCTCCACTTGTCTTAAGTAAAGTTTATCGCTCTTGAAAAGTCTCAAAGTTTCTCGAGGATAAAAGAGAACTCGGCAGCTGCAGCGAAGAAAAGTACATGATGCATTTGGCTCGCCAGTGCAGTGTATACACGGCGTACTGACATATATATGCCGCGTGCGCTCGGTCAAATCGTGAAACGCACCGCATTTTTCTATTCTCGCCCGAGCTCCGTGCAGAGCCACTACCATCGCCACGCTTCTTGAAAGATGTCAGCTGTGCGCGCAAGTGAAGCGCCGCTTCTCCGCCGTTATACACGTAGTGTACGGGCGTGCAGCGTGCAGCAGCATCTACCACGGGGTAAAACTCCCGAGCTCCGCGGGATAACTTAGTTCGTCCGAGCGGAAGAATTTCCCGCACTGTTTTCCAGTTAGTTAGAAGTTTTCGAGCTTTATACCTGCAGCAG